TATATATATATATATATATATATATATATATATATATATATATATATTAGTGTGTGTGTGTGTTTGTGTGTGTGTGTGTATGCGAGTGTGTGTATGTTTATATGCTAGATACATCCTTGAGAAGATGAGACATTGGCAGTTTTGTGTGTAATGAATTTGTAATAATACAAATTTGTAAGTATTTTCCATGGTTCCCTGTAGAGATCCTGTCACCACAGCCAAGATGGTGAATATAACTGTTGCTTCTGACCCTTTCTAATGCCTCCTCCCTAGAACAGACACCAATTTGCTTTCAGTTTACATTTCATAGAGTATATCATTTTGTTTTTAAGACAGAATCTCACTATATAGTTCTGGCTGGCCTGGAATTCATAACACAGACCAGGCTGGCCACCACCTTCCAGACATCCTCCTGCCTCTGACTCCCAAGTACTAAGACTGAAGGAGTACACTGCCATATGACTTATACAATTTATGTGGATGGAATAGCATAACATGTCTGGGTTATTTTTCAGTCCAGCTTCTTCTACTTGGTGCTATTATTTTGCTATTCATACATCTCCACCTCAGGGTTTGTATCAGTTTTTCGTTCTTTTTAAATGTTGAGCATTCCCCTGTGGATATATGTTGTCATTTTTTTAGTCTGTGTATTTGTTGAAGCCATTTGGGTTGTTTTTTATCACCTACAAACAAAGCTGCTATGAATGTCCATTGACAATTCTGATTCTTCAGGTAAGCACCTATGAGTGTGATGCTTGGATCATTCAGTGTGTGAATATATGGTTGGCCATTTTAACCATTCCTTTTCAAAAAATCTTATTTTTTTTATTTTTGAAATTATGTTTTTTTTTTAAATTAGTATACTTTACTGGGAAACCCCAGTTTCCTTCCCTCTTCTCCTCTCAGTCTTCTCCACCTCCCTCCCCTACCCTCATCCATTCCTCCTCCCTTTCTCTTCAGAAAAGAGGAGGCCTCCCATGTATGTCAACCAGCCTTGGAATATCAAGTTGCAGTAAGAATAGGTTTATCTTCTCCTGTGTAAATCTTGTTTTTTAGACTTACCTATTGAATAGTACTTTGCTTGCACATAAGTATCAGTATCATGTACATGCCTAGTACCAGAAGAAGTCAGAAGAGGGCACTGTATCTTCTGGGACTGGAATCACAGACATTTTTTTGAGCCATCCTATAGATTCTGCGAACTGAACCCAGATCCTCTGGAAAGTCGGGCAGTGCTCTTAACCTCTGAGCCTTTTAGCAATTTTTATTGATATATAATTGCGTACAATTGCACTTTTAGTTTGAAGTTCTTAAATGGCAAATAGTCTTGGATTTATTTTCATGTTATCACTTACTATCTGTACGTTCTCTGTGATGTAATAACTGAGCAAACCTTTTGAGAATTTTGTTTTCTTAAATTTTAAGTCTGAAGGATTTGCTTACTTGAGAATAAAAACAACCTGATATGGAACAAAAGTGTTTGTTGGTTTATTTTGGTTACAGCTCATCTTTTTTGTGGTTGTTTTTTTGCTGTTGGTTTTTGAACACAACATTCAAAAACAGACAATCCTTTTCGAATTCCTTTTTTAAACTTTGCTGAAGTCTTCTTTCATGTTTCAGCCAATATTTCTAAGAACTCACTGCATAATTCAACACTATAAAACTTTTTTCGTATACCTTTTGCTCCTGAAAGATTATAACTTTGGGTTTTACCTTGTGGTCTACAACTATTTCAGATGCTTTTCAGGCCATGCCTTGAAGCTCCTGGTTTTGCATATGGACATCCAATAGTTTCAACAGTCTCCTGGGGTTGCTATTGCCCTTAAAAGCCCTTTACAGTTTTCACATGTTCTGTCCCACTGGCTTCTCTGTGTATTTTTCTACCATGATCACTGCACTCTTTTGGATGCTATAATTTTATAATAAACATTGAAATCAGGCAGTGATGATGCTTGAAGTAAATTCTTATCCAAATCTGTTTCCGTTGATTTGCGCTACTATTGTGTTCAGTTTTGAACTGGTCCGTCAACTCTATAAATCTCCTTTTGGCATTTTGGTTTTAGTCATATTGAATCTATAGATAAGTTTTAAGAGAGTTAAAACCTTTAAAATGCTGATTCATAGACAGGAATGGTGGCACACATCTTTAATCCCAGCGCTCATAAGAGGCAAAGGCAAGTGGATGTCTGAGTTCAAGGTCAGCAAGGACTACATAGTAAGAGCCTGTCTCAAAATAAAATAAAATAACACTGATTCCCAAACAAAGCACAATTGTTCATGCATTCTTTGAACTTGCTGGACAATGTTTTGTATTTTCCTCTGACATTATAGACTGTCATTACATATTTCATACAAGTTACTATAGATAGAATTATTACCTATAGTTTTGAATTATAATTACTTACTATTAATACACTGAAGAGCAATGGGTTTTATATTAATCTTGTACTGTAAGGTCTTGGCAAACTCATTCCATTGTTCTTGCAACTTTTCCTCCATAAGCTGCTGGATTTTCAGCACAAGCAATCTGCTCATATTTAAATAAAAATACTTCATGTGAAATATTAAACCTTAAGTATGACATCAACTCCACATTTTTCATAGATGACTTTTTGTTAATTTAAGAAGTTACTTCTTAAACACTTTTATATTAATGTGTCTTTCTGCATGTGTGCACCAACATGTGTGAGTAATTTTGTGTGTGTGTGTGTGCCTGTGTGTGTCTGTCTGTGTAAGTGTCTGATAACATTTATCTGTATGAGTATACACACGTTGTGTGGGTATGCTAGCACATTCAGATGCCTGTAGAGGCCAGAGGCTTGTCTTCCTCTGTCACTCTCTGGTTTATGAAACAGTCTTTAACTGAATGTGGAGTTCACAGATTCAGCTGGCTGGCCAGCAAGCCCCAGGCATACTGTCTTTGCTCAATATCCTACCATAGCCAGTAGCATACCTATGCTAGCCTTTACTTGAGTGCTGGGGATCTGAGCTCTAGATGACATTAACTGTGCTCTCCATTTTCATTTCTAGATAAACATTTTCATCATGGGGCACTTTTTTCTAAACATCCTTGTTCTTTCTTTAAAGTGTATTATTTATTGTGTGCCTGATGGTGGTGAGTACATGTGTGTACCACAGCATGCACAGCCAGAGGACAATTTCAGGGCGCTGGTTTTCCCATTATATGTACCCAGGCATGGAACTCAGATCATCTGGTTTGGTGGCAAGTTTCCTGATCTGCTAAGCCATCTGAGTCTTCCTTTTCCTCTAGTGAAAGTCTGCTGGGGATGAATTCTTATTGCTCTTTTATGTTTGATACTATTAGTTCACAACCATTTGTGAAAGTCTTTTTCATGACTACAGATGCCTAGGTGAACAGCTTTGTCTTACTGAACTTTTAAGTACTTTCTTCTCAGTCCTCTCACTGCTATTGTGTGTGTGGGAGGGGGTGGGGTGGGGATAGGAGGTGCTCAACCATGCAGGTGCACAAGGATGGATGCCTGAGGTTGATATTGGGTATCTTTACTCACTTCCCTACCATGTTTTTGCATACAGTTTCTCCTACCGAGCCTGGACCTTTGGTTTTGGCTAGACTGCATGGCCAGGAAGCTGCAAGGATCATCCTGTTTCCACTGTCTTACACTGGGGTTACAGCCCTGTGACATCGGCTAGGGACTCAGACTTAGGTCCTTAGGTTTCCATAGCAAACAGTCTACTCTCAAAGCCACCTCCCAGCTTTCAACTGCTTCAGTTTGTGTGACATATAATTTA